TTGTTTCAATCGTATCTTATAATACTGTGCCAGCCAGGAACATTAGCAGATACAATTTCATAAACTAACGCAATTTTATGTTGCCGGAAATGCGCACTAATCGTTACACGAACTCATTTATTCAATCCATGTCCAATCTGTAAAACCTTTATACGTAGTTTTTTTTAAAGTCATTTTATATTACATGAAATTGCTATTTTTGTAAAAACCATGCAATTTAGCCTTAGGAGGCTGCAGATTTGAATATTTTTATAATATTTCTATCTATCTCCATCTATGTCCAGGTTCTGTGCGTGATCAGAAAGTGGCTGAGGCTGACGGTGTGACTGTGGGGTAATATTTTTGAAGCTCTTTTTTCTGAACTTCTCGATGATTCCATGACTTAGCTCTCCGTCACTTCTGGAGAATACAATGGAGCAGCCTGTGGCTAATAAATAGCTCTGTTTTACGTTATCGAAAGACAAAATAGAAACCCTCTTAGAAGTTGTACTGTTAAAAATGCTCATTTTTTCTCCTTTTCTCACCATGTTCGTCCTGGATGTATTTCACTGTACATCTCGACTTAATTCTGGGAGACAATGAGACTCTCGGGAAAGATAAACCAATAATACTCGTGAACAAATCACGGGCGGCTGATTGGCTGAGAACGAGTGCTTTTTTTTTTTGCAAAGTTGTAACAGGAGTTCATGCAAATTACAATATTGTGCCCGCTGTCAAAATTTCGTTTGTCTCGACTTTCTGTGATGCCTTTTTCATATACATTACTAACAAGTAATAACATGATTTCTCTTTCCACAAAGAGTCATTTCGGTCCACGTTACGAGGGAGATCACCCTACGAAGGAATGAAACCTCCTAACCAATCAAAAGTTAAAGGGACCTTCCTCTGATATGAAAATGGAGGAAAAAGTTTCAGGAAAATGCAGATTAAGTCAAGGGTGGTATCAAGCCCCCCATTACTCAATAACAACAACAAATGATACATTTGTGAAACTTTAAAGCTTGCTTGTTTATTGAAATCACACTCAGCAATTAAAAACAAAGATATGAAATAATTATTATAAAAACCCTTAACATGACATTACGTGACATTTCTAACGATGTAGTTGCTGTAATAAGAAAAATTATTGTTAAAAAAATGGGATTAAAAACAAAAGGACTTTAATTAAAAAAAAACTTCTGCACTGAATGTCTGCAGTGCTAAAATATTTTTGCTTCTGAGCCTTGGTTTCCTAAGACTCCTGATACTATCAGCTACAGTCGGTACAGATTTAAGCTACATTGCTAATTGAAAATACGATCTCATGCATGGGAAACGGTGAATTTCTCTCTTCTCAAAATTTTAATTTTTATTAAAACAGTGTCTATCGAATTCGTAATATGAGCAACGCCACAGCGGCGCCGAGAACACATCTCACTAAAAGCTGGACTACTAACGACACTAACTTAAAAATGTAAAAAAGAAAGAGCTGCTGTGGGTTCAAATATTACTGCTTATCTTGCGGGTAACAAAAAGAGCGTTGAATGTTTATGATATAATAAACACCTGATTTCCGTAAGCATTTTGTCTTCAACACGGTGAAGATACCTACGGCCCGATAGGTTCGTTTCGTTCATCATATAGGCGTGGCTGATAATGTGGGCGTGGCCTATAATATGGGCGTGGCCTATAATATGTTGGACGTTGGCAAACATATTGGGAACAATATACATAGTAAACCAAGTGCTTTGACCAACAACACGACCCAAAACACTCCTGGATCGTAATGCATATACGCGAAGCTATCTTGGTTTCAATTTTCCAGTATCCTCCAATATTGGAACACCAACACTTATCCCAGTAGGTAACGGTGCCTTTTCCACCTGGACACAGATTGCATGGGTGAATTGGCGGAAATGATCTCGCATTTCGACGACTGCGATGGTGCGTTCCTGTTGTAGAAAGAAAAGATACAACTGCATTAGATGTGTCACAACAATTTAAAGTTTGCGAAACAAGAGCAAAACATTCAGAGAAATACCTCAATTAATTTGGCGCAGGAACTTACGACATCTAGAAATTTTATAAATTTATATCACCTTCAAGATTCACCAGATGTCTATATATTTTGCATTCTTTAATTCTTTCAAGGAACAGTTTGGTTTGGGTTTTCTTCCTAAATTAATAAAAGTCACAAGGAAAGCGCGAACGCAATTTAGCCTTCTGTTTTTTTTTGATATACGCATTTCAAGCTCCTCTGTCGATGACTCACCTTCTGTCTCAACCCTTGTAGAAGTCAATGAGTCGTCCATTATTTTCACCTGATATATCGGGTATTGTGTACAAAAGTTTGCCAACTCCTTGCTCAGTTCAGACCGATTAGCCATCTCTTTGTCCACTATCCACTTGCTGTCAATAATTTTGGTCTTGTCCTTGTCTAATTCCTGCAAAACAGCAACAGGATTTCTTAGTATTTTTCAGCTATCCCTAAGCAAAAGAGAAATCATGCGTCTCCTGTACTTCTCACCAATCGGTGCACTAGTCAGCTAGCAAGCAGGACAATTCCTAATTCTTGTAAAACGGCAACCAGATGTTTTAGAATTTTTCAGAAAACTTTCTGTAAAAGAGAAACTATGCGTATCCCACAGTGTTCACAAATCAGTAGACTGTATTCTTTGGTCAGCCAGCCGCCAGGACAAAACTATTGAAACCCGTACCCACATATTTCTCGTCTTGAATTTTTATTGGTTTCTCAACAATAGACTGGGATACCTAGTTAAGTTTCCAAAATGTTCCCAGCTTCTTCTAATGATCCAAGATGTGAGACATTTAAGTGGCAGCACCTCGAATGATAATTATAGCGAATAGTTAACAAATAAAGACTTAACACCAGTTGTGTTTTTAACTAAAAGATGAAAGATTAGGGAATTTTGTGAACGTTTTATTTCTTTGCCATCTAATAATGTTTAAATAATACAGTTTCTCTGAGTCGTTTGTCTGAAGAAAGGATCATGTCCTTACCTCTGTCCGGTCAAGATCACTCTCGAGTTTTGCTGGTGTCGGCATCTCTTCTGACAGTGGCATAAGGTAGCATATCTTTTTTTCTGGTAACAGCATCATAGTCATATTCTGTTTTACGATAAAAGAGGAATTTTTCGATAATCCCAATGTTGTTTAAACACTGGCGTTTCATTTACACGAAAGCATAAGTTTGTAAGCATGATGAATATGTCCTCTTTGTCTTGTCTAGTAAAGAGTAGCTGATCATGTTCAGCGTTGTCCCAGTTGGCTTAAAGAGTTCTAATCAGGACTTGCTATGCTTGAAACACGATAAAAAGATTGTGCTTTATAATGAGTCAGTTGGGGTTTGAATTGATTAAGCACTTTTTTTAGGTTTGATTGAGGACTGGATAAATCCTAATGTTTTTACACCGCTTGACGCTAAAACAAATAGACTTACCGTCTTAAAGTCGTGC